GAGAGAGAGAGAGAGGGAGAGAGAGAGAGAGAGAGAGAGAGAGAGAGAGAGAGAGAGAGAGAGAGAGAGAGAGGACGCGGAGCGGCGAAGCGGAGCAGGGAGCGACGGTGCAACCGAGAGGGCGACGGCTTCAGCGTCGGAACGGCCAGTGGCGGAGCACGTGCCAGCAATGGCGGTCGGCGGAACTAAAAATTGAACGCGCGTTCAATTGTTTTAAACGCGAGTTCCATTTCTGAACGTGTGTTTGAACGCGGGCGCAGGTTGTCCGCCCTGCTCTGTTCGGAGGGTGGTGGGAGCCCGGGGTGCTGTTTGTTGGAGACGTGCGGGATTTGGGACTGCAGGGGCCATACCATACCGCGACGCAACTGATCGGCGGGGATATCGGCGGGAACCGCAATGGGGCGGGGTCAGGCCCGCGTGTTTGAGGACGCGGGGGACGACGAGAACCTCAAGGCGCAGAAGAAGAGCTGCGTGTACAAGTATGTCCGCGTGGGACAGGGTCTCGGCGATAGGTACCGCGGGAATCGGATGATGAAGTGCCATTTTTGTGGGACGAGTTCCAGGCCGTCATTTTCAGCAGGGCAAGGGATGTCCCTCGGTGACCGACGAGGCGCTCGTCGACATACACTAAAACACCGACTACAAGCTGGAGGGGTCGATCCTGGAGCGGATGCAGCGGTTTGAAGAGCTTCACGGTCCGGCGCCCGCGATGGATCCGCGGCAGGACGAGGGAGGGGCGACGAGGAGCGGATCGACGTGGACGACGTCGTCGAGGAGCTTGTGCGGGAGGGGCCACCAAGGAGGGACCTGGGGAAGGGGATTGTCACCGATCTGGGGGGCAGCAAGGCCACTTTTTTAAGGATTCGCACGTGTCGGCTCGCACACGTGCAAACGTGGATACGAACGAGTCGGGTTCGTCCACAGGGAAGAGGAGGGAGAGAGAGGAGGGGGCGCGGCCGCAGGCGACTAAGAAGAGGCTTAGACAACAACCGATTACAGAGTCATTCTCTTCGCAGTGGCAGATGGAGTTCAGGAAGAGGTGGCTGAGGTTTGTGTACAGTCAGCGCCTGGCGTTGAACATCTTCCGGAGCGAGCCGTGGTTGGACGTCGTCCGACATTTCAGGGATTTGCCTGGGCCAGCGAAGGTTTTGTGGCCTTCACAGAACGAGATTGCAGACATAGAGACAGTTGTCCAGACGACGGACGATGTGGCGGCAGATCTTGCGTAGGTCAGGGCTCCATTTTATGTCACGGGGGCCACCATCGTGTCAGACGGCAAGAAGTCACGCGATGCTAAACCAATCGTAAATTCCTTGCCGGTGGGTCGCGTGGGGTGATGCTGATCCGGACAATGAACAGGGAGGGTGAGCGGGACCGAGCGGAGGATGTGTTGGCGCGGTGGATCAAGGTGTTTGATGACTTCCCCCCGAAGTGGGTGAACGCTATCTGCACCAACTCTGCCTCGGCGTACGTTGGCGCGGCGAACATGCTCCAGGGGCCTGAGCAGAGGCCAGAGCATCGTCGGATCACGTGGCTCCCATGTGTAGTGCATGTCTACAACAAGATGTTGTCAGATATTGGCTGCTCGAGCGCGTTGTCCAAGAACATCATCGTGCGGGTGAGAGCGGTGGTGCGCTTCATTAAGGAGCACGACGGCGCTCTTTATATCTTCAGGAAGGAGAGTAAGCAGATGTGCCTCATTTATCCGTGCGAGACACGATTCGCATCTGTGTTCTCGATGATTGAGCGTTTGCAGGCAGTGAGGTCAGCATTGGAGAGGACTGTGGACGGTGATGGTTTGGGTATGGTCCCTTGAGACCATTCCGTTCGTCAGTTGGCTAGGTGGGTCAGGTGGCAGGTGCGACATGGCCCTTGGTGGGACTCCATGGCCGTCCTTTTCCGTATTATGGAGCCTGTGTACGACATGCTGCGCAGGTTGGAGGGCTGCACATGTCGCGGGTTATTCAGTGGACGCAGGATGTGACCCGCGAGGTGGCCAGGGAGGTTCGTGCACTTCTGGCGGATTCTGCACACTACATTGTGCAGAGGGTGCAGGCTCGATGCGCGCACATGTTGGAGCCGGCCCACGCCGCTGCTCACCTTCTTTGTCCCAGCCGGCGGGACTCGAGGTACTACGAGGGCGTGGTGAGCAGCTACGACGCGAGCTTGGTGAGGGAGGCAGAGGCTTACATCTTGTCGCAGACAGGGTTCAGTGTAGCGAGCCCCGAGTACGAGACCGCATGTGCGCAGCTGCGCGGCTTCCACACACGGAGGGGGGGGATTGCGTGGGGAGGGAGGGACAGAGACAGAGAGGCACAGAGGTGCACCGGCGACGTGGAGACGTACGAGGCCGGGTGTTGGTGGTCGAAGTGGGGACAGTGCGCCCCGCAGTTGCAGGCCATCGCTCTTCTTGTTATGTACATGTGGACGTGCTCCTCTCCTGCGGAGAGGAATTCGGCCGTCCACGAGGGTGTACAGACGAAGAAGCGTAACCGCCTTGAGTTTGAGAAGGTTTCGAAGTTGTTGAGATCTCAGCCAACGTCCGCCTTCTCTCGCATCAGCGCGCAGGTCGTGGGTTTGCGTTACCGTGGACTATAGATGAGTCTACGTTGGATGTGGAGGGAGGCCTCGGGACTCACCCCTTGTGGAAGGGGGCGGACGAGAGCAGGACGCAGGAGGACCTTGAGTCTCAGAGACGTTCATGGCAGCGAGACCCGTGCGGGTCGAGAGCTCCTCCGGGGGAGGTGGCAGATGTTTTTGGGACTCGAGCCGCCACATTGCACCCGTACCATCGAGACGACAGTGATTCCGAGGGTCACGAGGACGAGGACGAGCGGGCGGGCCCCGCCACTGCCGCTCATGCGGCACAGCAGAGTGGTGAGTGGAGCGACCCGAAGGACATCCGCAGACGGACTGACGGGGATGGCTTGTTCATAGGACTTGATTCGCAGGGCGAGGAGGAGTTAGGTGGTTCGTATGGGAGCCCTGTCGAGCGACAGAGGCCTTCGTCACATGGCCCGCGGTCCGCTGAGCGAGAGGGAGCTCCTGGATCTCCACCTTCGAGGGGGGCAGAGTCGGGTTGTGGTGGGGAGGTCCCTGGCGGGGGTCCTACGCATGTTGGTGGTGCCTTGCACAAACTGGTGAGGGGCCCGCGACAGTGATTGGTGGATAGATTAGCGGGCGGTCCTTCACAGGTCGAGGGGCGTGCGAGAGATAGATAGGGGTTGTCTACTGGAGACGGTGCTGTGTTGCCAGCAGGCGGAGGCGGTGGCGAGGATGCCGCGGCAGTTGAGGAGGGTGAGCATGAGAGTGTTCGTGATGAGGGGATGTCGGCAGGCGGCGGAGGAGGTTTGAGCGAGTTTGAACTGTTTGGTGACCTGGGAGTGCCCCCGGGAGAGAGCGAGTCTTGAGGGGACATCATTGTGGGCATGCAGGTCAGATTGGGACAGATCAGCGCCCTGCACCCAGAGACTTTCACACCTGCCATGCACGACGCGTTGATGTCGCCACCGCTTGAGGCTGAGGGAGATGAGGATCGCACATCTCCTGGAGAGACATCTAAGGAGAGGTTGGATAGGCTTGAGAGTCGTCGAGCATGCCTCATGGCACGAGCGGACCCCAGGACCCAGGAGTTGACCCGTGTTGTGGSTGAGGAGCGACATAGAGAATTGGGGACATTTCCGCCGGCRTCCCTTCACGTAGAGACAACTRCCCCCATGGATCCTCCRAAAGGGGATCACGATAGGACGCARGGGGAGGGAGCTTTGGCAGAGGCATCGAGCATGGGAGGGGATGATGAGCAGAGGGAGCCGTGCGAGAGGCACGAGACAGGGTTGGCATCACTAGAGGACCGACCTTTGGTGCCTGACCAGACTCCCACCGACGAGCAAAGGCCCGAGGGGACGTTGCATGACGCTGCCGACGTGCCTCTGCCCGCGGCTTTGGATGAGGGTGCCGTGCACATGTCCCCGGGTCTAGAGGACATACAGACAGGGCAGTCGGTGGGCGTTGAAGTTGCTCGACCCTCTGCACAGGCAGAGGGCACAGCACCGACCACCGGGTGGGAGGAGGACGTAGAGAGGGACGTCCATGCTAGTGGGGCGGGACGAGACCCCTCACAGGTCGATAGCGAGGTTATGCGTAGAGAGGCAGCGGGCACAACATGGGTCGATGCAGCGGGGGACGTCCATGCTACTAGTGGGGCACAACACCGGGGGGGGGGGACGTAGCGGGGCACATCCACGCTAGTGGGGCGGGACGAGACCCCACACAGGTCGATAGCGAGGTTATGCGAAGAGAGGACGTGTGAGACAGGCGTGACGGAGACAGAGAGGAGACACCGCAGACTTTGGTGGTCCGCACGGTAGCGGGCCCAGTGGTGCCACATTAGGCAACGTTTCTAGTGGATCCCGGGTGTCGTGCACATGGAGGTAGCCCGGTCGCAGAGCGACGAGTAGGCAGGGGCACGTGCGCACCTCCGGTCCCTACTTTTGCACCGTTACGGAAGAGGCCGCAGATTAGGTATGTGGCCACGCCTCGCAGCAGCCTCCCTTTTGGATGTATGGTTGCTTAGGAGTTGGAGGCGCACGACGGGATGGATTTGACGAAGATCGATAGGCGGTGCTTCAGGAGGCCTCTGCAGGCGGGGCATCTGCCTCACGTGCATGACTTGTCTTGGAGGCCAGCTAGCCCTAGCTTACCTTCGGGAGGTTCTGTCGCAGTGCCGTCTCACGGCGCAGCAGGGCCATCCTCACCAGCAAGCGTAGTTGCAGGAGAGAGCGGCAGTCTCACCCCAAGGTTGGCTGCCCGTAGACGGAGAGACACTACCGACCATGCACGGGAGTCGCACGACACTATGTTGTTCGGTCGCACTGACAGGCCATGGAGTGAGACGAGACGGGTGACGACGACGAGTGCCAGTCGTCAACCAGGTTTGAGAGGGGTTTCCAGGAGCGGGGGTGGTCGAGATGTTGTGGCATCTGGGTTTGGCAGTAGAGGCGATGACAGTGAATGCATGCATAGCAGACGCGAAGGCATAGACGGTGTCGCGCCTGGCGTGGTACATCCATCATTGACGTTTGGTTTGAGAGAGGCTTCGATGATTTTAGACGAGCCTGATGTTGTGACACGAGCGAGGCAGGCCCGACACGTGCCCCTAGATCGACGGCAGGAGGGGGAGACATCAGGGACAAATGGTCTACCTATGCATCATGAGTCCCGCCGACGTGATGATCTTGCGGACGCATTTATCCCCCGGATAGCCACAGGTAGGAGAGTTATTATGGACGATGACGACGGCAACCGTCCCGAGCTTATCACAGCTGGACGTGGCGGGCATCGTCAGAGAGGGCGAGGACGTGGCACTGGCGGGTCACACAGACGAGGTTCTCATGGGTCCCGGCAGGCTTCGCGCGCAGACGACGATCGTTGATGGTGCACGGAGTTGCATTTTGTTGCCTTTCTTCGACGGAGGAGCATTTTTGTTATCCATGACAGACAATGTTTTTTTATGTTGTATTCTAGTTCACTTTACAATCGTCAATTTTTTTTTGCAGTTCACACATGGTTTCATGATGTTGTATTTTAGTTTGCTTTGTAGTCGGTTGTTTTTTTGGGCATTTCACATATGTTTTCCTTCGGTACCTTTGGGATTGTATCTTTGTAGTGTATCGTGTGTTCTACTTTTTAGTCGACAGTTTTGAGTCGGTGCTTCTTTCGATGGAGTGGTGGGTCTTTGACACGACATGTCAGATTTATGCTATTATTCATGCTATATTGGTTTGTGTTCTGCTTCGATTATGTCTTCACGTTTGCAATGTTTCTGTTTTTTTGACGATGAGTGTTGTGTGTGCAATGGTGCAGGGTGGTGTTGCCGGGCTGTGGGTGCATGTGGAGGGTGGTATCGATGGTCTTTTG